CCTGAACCCTGAACCCTAAGCCCCCGCTAAACCGGCTACCTCGAAAAGCCTTCAATGGTTGCGCTGACTTGCAAGACACAGGCCTCGAAGGCGTCCTTCAATTCCTTGGACACGCGATTCTCCGTGCTTGTCCCGCCCTCTGCCGCTGGCTCTGGCAAAACATCACCGATGTCGAGAGCGAAGTCGTCCTCCGGCAAGCTAGGCTGGCCTGAGCTTTTTGCGGCCTGCAGCACGTGCTGCATCATGATGTTGAAGGTGTGGGCAAAGGAAACACGGTCGCCGTGGAACGTGTGGGTTCCCACACTGGGCTTGTCTTTCTCCTTCAAGATTGGCAGGAGCTGTTCAATGGCAGCCTGGAGCTCTTGCGAAGCATCCTCAGGCCAATCCTCCAGCGGCTTCTCCTTCTCTGCATGCTTCTTCACGAGGCCGTTCACAACCATCATGTGATGCATGCTGTTTGCCTCGGCGAGCTTGAGCTGGATGTTCCAGGGAGCCACTGCCCATGCACCTCGGATCAGCTCGATGTGTCCCCTGACGTCCTCAAACTGCATGAGGCATGGATCCTGTTCACGGAGGATTGTAGCTGACTTGCACTCCAGGATCCGCTGGGACAAATCCTCAGCCATTGTCTCCCTCGACAGCTCCGTCAAATTATCCACGATGCGCTGGGCCTTGGAAGTCATCACTGCTCCGCGTGCCTAACTCGGGGCGCCTAACTGCCTGACTGGTGTCGATTTGTTGCGCGTTGTGGAAAATTTTGGAAGCCAACGGTTTGGGAAGTACGTTTGGAGTTTTGGGCACTTGTCTTTCACGTTGGAAGAAAAGGGAAGCCATCGGTTCGGGATGTAGGTTTTGAGTTTTGGGCCGTTTCTTTGCATGTTGGAAAATTTGGGAAGCCAGCAGTTTGGGATCTACGTTTGGAGCTTTGCTGTCGGCGTTTCTTTACACTTTGGGGTGTGGCTTGTGCTGCTTTTCACATGCTGTAAGACCACCGGAAAGTGACAGGACAGGAAACCCGCGCAAATTCCGTAACACCCATGCCTTGAATCCGTACCAAGAGCCCATACACCGTAGGTTGGAGAGGCAACTCGCCCAAATTCCGTAACACCAATGCTCTAAAATAAAGCCTGGATTGGAAAACCACGAAACTTTGGGACCGCCGCTGCCTTATAACGGATTTTCGATTGGATATGCCGACAGCTCCCACTACGGGTCAAATGTAACAGTGGATGCAAAGCACGTATGCCTTCTAGCGAAACTGTCCCACCGACTAAGTGACTAAGCTCGCGGCTCCCGTGAGTGACGTGGACAGTGTCTTGGTGGAGAGGTCCACAATGCCAGATGCTTCCGGTCCGAGCAAGAAAATGTCCGGTCGCAGTACCTGGAGGCACTTGATTGACGAGCCTTTCCCGGAGTTGAGATGGACTTCCGCCAAATCTTGCAGCTCTGGGTCAATCAGGGAGAGGCCTCTGTCTTTATCCTTGGATGCCCTGCTGCACACAGACTTGACGTCCACGTCACCACCTACCTGCTGCGACTGCTTGGTTTTTGCTGCCGCAGCCTTCTTTGCCTGTGCCTTCAAAGATTTCGCGGCTTTCTGCTTAGCAGCCTGCTCCTCACGCTCCGACACCTTAGCACTTTTGCGAGGCCCCAAAGTTTTCGTCTCCAACTTCTCCTCTTCTGAACCCGCCTTTTCCTCATCATCCTCGCCGTCCTCATCGCCATCCTTAAGGGGTTCCTGCTTGTCTGCGTCTTCCTGTGCACGCTTAGCGGGGCGGAGGCGGAGGCGATGCGCTTGGCCTCAGCTGGCACTTTACATCCAAAGCGCTGCTAGCACAACAACCGCAAGCCACCATTTCAGACCTCTGCCGCTTCTGAGCCGAGATGCTGCCCTCTACTCCGGGAACTAGGCCTTGGGGACGCTCCTGGAAGTGCTCCGACACGTAGTGCTTGAAAGTAGCTGCCGCCTGGCGAGGCAACAACTGGCGCTCAGGGCGCAACATGATTTCCTGCTGCTTCGCCGCGGAATCCATGTAGATGTGCACCCTCCTCATGCCAAGGATCACGTCTAGCGGCAAGCCCTTCAAGTCCACGAGGAACATCTCTTGGGAATGCCGTGGGTTGGGCCAAGGAACCATCGTTGGCTCCAACCCCGCCTCCGAAGGGAGCATGTGCTCAAGATCGTAGAACTCCTGGGCCGTGAGGAGGCCCTTCTCCTCGAAAATGTTGTATCCGTAGGACACGTCCTCACATACTAGCGAGGCTGGGTCGCACACATATCCCTCGGCTGATTGCTGATAGTTGGCTTTGGCCTTGTCAAAATCAGTCTTGAAGTCTCTGTCCTGCATGCGTGCACCTGCCGTATTTGTGTACCAGGCATACACCTTCTGTAGCGTCGCCTCGGGGCGGATCTGCAAGGCAATGTCCCCACATTCAAAGCAGACGGGCACCAGAGGTGCCGTGCCTGCTTTGTCCAAGCAAGCACATTCCTTCACCTCGCAAGGCTACGGCAGCAGGCAATGGTCTTTGCATGTGTGCTGCAGGCCGTCGCTACTACTCCAACCCGGCCTGGACGTTTTTCTTGCACATGGTACATGTGAAGCTGCCCTTCAGCTTCTTTGCCGCATCAGGTCTCGCTTCTGGCACTGCGACTAACCGATTCTCCGAGATTGGACGCTTGCTGCCCATGACGATCGGAAAGAGCTGGTTGGCTACAAGGCTAATCCTATTCAAGATCCTTGTCGTTCCGACAACACTGCGGTGTGCTCACTGCTATCCCAAAGCAGCAATCCCGTGCAACCAGCCACTAACACTAACAGACTGGCATGCATCAGGCTTCGGCTCAACAACGTTCTTGCTGGACAATTATTCACATAGTCGCGAAGTCGGGTCCTGCAAAGGTCTATTCGCACGCATATTTGTACTCCGCAAGAGCTGGAAAAGTTGCGCTACGACTGTTGTGACTGCCGCGCGGGCAATGTCTTCGAAACGCGGGGCTTTGGGCATCGAATATATAACATAACAGATTGATGTTTGCACCTTGTACCTACATGCACAGCGGTCACTGATTCCCCGCACGCTAAGACAACAAGACTGCGTGGTGAGTAGTGCTGATTGCACCACTTAATTACAAGCTGGCCTGGCAAGGCCTCGCCTGCTGTTGCCGTGCATTCAGCCGACACTGTCCATAAAATTGCATCGCTTCCAGGAACCAACACAACTCTGGGGTTCTGAGGCATTCAAAGGCAAGCCGAGGCATTACACATGCAAACACTGGAACCAAGCAAATTGGTCAACTTGCGCCTCACAGCTCTGACTGAGATTTGCAAAGCTTCGACCAAGAGGCTGCTACCTGGTACCTCCTAGCAACGGTTTCCCCGCATGCCTGGGAGGTTTCCGGAGCACACCAATGCCCATACGATAGAACCGAGGCTCGGCAAGAACATGCCCTCTCCGGCCAACGCGGCTAAAGATGCTTGCGACATGCTCTGCGGGATGTTGAATGACCTGGGGTGGCCCTGCCAGAACATCATTTCAACTGGTGTGACCACTCGTTGCTCCGCAAACGAGTAGATGCAGCTGCTGGTTGTCATGCAGCGGCTCACTGTCTTACTGTTTGTCCAGGGCTTGCGATATGGATTTTGCGACAGATCCACGTAGACATCGGCCAAGGCCTGCTTGATCTTGCTCCAGCAACCGCACTGCTTGGCTTCTTGCACGAGACCTGCAGCACACTTCGGCCCGAGGTGATCGATGGCGGCAAGGTCCATGAGTGCCCGTGCACGGGTAGTGTCAGGGATGCCAAAGCCCCGTAGACGCACACCTGGCATGCATGTCCAGGGTCGTAGATCTGGATCCACGCCCCAGGTCCGTCGAAGGTCCGCCTCTTGCAGCTGCCACTGCATCTGTCCCCCTGTCGTCGGCTCCTGACAGCTGCTCCACAGGGTCCAGAACGGGAATCTCGAGAGAAGCATTCAACGTCTAGACACAAAACAGAACTGCAACGAAAAGTGCCTTGCAGTGTCTTCAAAAAAACGGATACGTGGACTACTTGCAACGCATGGTCTATGCCTCTACGCTGCTTGGCATCGCTCGACCCAGCTGTCCCCATCCACCTCCGACCCCTATCCCATCACTTTCCTCTCAGAAAGACGAACGTGCAAAGAACTTAACCAGACCTGCGCATTCTTCAAGCAGTATGGCTTCAACATCATAAGACCTTCCGAGTAGGACACCAAAGCAAGTCATGCTTCATCACAAGACCTTCTGGGTGGGACACTAAAACAAATCCTGCTTCATCACAAGACCTTCTGGGTGGGACACAAAAGCAGATACTGCTTCATCCTGTGACCTTCGGGGTGGGACACTGAGACACTAAAGCAAATACTGTTTCATCATATGACCTTCTGCGTGGTACACGGAGACACTAAAGCACGTTGCCTTCACCATGGTTTTGGTGCCAGAAAAAACACGGTGAAGGCAACCGGCCGTTGCCTTCACCATGGTTTTGTTGCCAAAAAAAACACGGTGAAGGCAAGCGGCCGTTGCCTTCACCATGGTTTTGGTGCCAAAAAACACGGTGAAGGCAAGCGGCCGTTGCATTCACC